CAGGATTGTTTTGCGAAAGGCCGTGGCAGGGCAGTTTGGGCACCTGTGTAGGGTTGCTTTTTGAGCTGTTTGGGTGCTTGCCTGCGAGCGGGGAGAGGCCGTGGAAGGGTTTCCTTTTGACCAGTTTGGCCGCTAGATGGCGCTAGCCTGCGTGCGGGAGGCCCTTGAGCTAGACTCCTTTTCGATTTCTGGTTTAATTTTGACCTGTTTGGGCGCTAGGCTTTTTGGGCGGCGGGTTTGCGAAAGGCCGTGACAGGGCTGTTTGGGCACCCGTCACTGTAGGGTTTCCTTTTGGCCTGTTTGGGTGCTAGCCTGCGCGCTGGGGTTCTTGGGCCGGACTTTTCGCTTTTTTGTGGGGTTTCGTTTTGATCTGTTTGGGCGCTAAGCTTTTTGGGCGACCGGAACCTGTGTAGGTTGTTCACGAAACAGCGTTGCTGTGAGGGGTCCTCAGCCAAGATGCTTCCCACCCTTTGCTTCCCCTTGTCTCCCATGGTGTGTCTGGATGCTCGGATGCTGGGCTGATTTGTCTCCCTTCGTCTCCCCTTGTCTCCATGGCGTGTCTGGATGCTGTTCGCTTTGCTTTGTTTCTCCTTGTCTCCCCTTGTCTCCCATGGCGTGTCTGGACGCTGGGCTGAGATGATTTAGCTTTGTCTCCCTTCCCATGGCATGTCTGGAGGCTGGGCTGGGATGATTTTGTTTTGTCTCCCTTTGTCTCCCCTTGTCTCCCATGGCGTGTCTGGGTGCTGGGGTGGGGTCGCTTTGCTTTGTCTCTCCTTGTCCCCATGGCGTGTCTGGACGCTGGGCTGAGATGATTTGTTTCCCCTTGTCTCCCACGGCGTGTCTGGAGGCTGGGCTGAGATGATTTTGCTTTGTTTCCCTTTGTCTCTCTTTGCTTCCCTTCTCTCCCATGGTGTCTGGATGCTCAGATGCTGGGCTGAGATGATTTTGCTTTGTCTCCCTTTGTCTCCCATGGCATGTCAAGATGACTTTGCCTTGTCTCCCCTTGTCACGTTTCGGGTTGCGAGCGGGATTGCGAAAGGTTGTGACAGGGCGGTTTGGGCACCTGTGTAGGGTTGCTTTTTGACCTGTTTGGGCGCTTGCCTGCGAGTGGGGAGGCCGTGGAAGGGCTTCCTTTTGACCTGTTTGGGTGCTAGCCTGCGCGCGGGAAGCCCTAGGCAAACTTGTCGAAACAGCGCAGTGCAAAATAATACCTGCGCCCCAAACCATGTCAATAAAGAACCTTAGGAGGCACGGCCCCAAATGACCGGGTCCGTTTGAAACCTTGGCACCTCAACAGGTCAAAAAGGAACCTTGGGAGGCACTGCTTCCAAATCTACCAGGTCCGATTGAAACCCTGAGTCGAAACAGCGCCCAAAACTGTGTCTGTCAATAAAGAACCTTGGGAGGCACGGCCCCACATGTACCGGGTCCGTTTGAAACCGTGGCGCCTCAAAACAGGTCGAAAAAGAACCTTGGGAGGCACTGCCCCCAAATTTACCAGGTCCGTTTGAAACACTGACGCAAACTTGTCGAAGCAGCACCCAAAACAGTGCAAAAAAGAACCTTGCGCCCCAAACCATGTTAGTAAGAACCTTGGGAGGCACGGCCCCCAAATTTACCGGGTCCGTTTGAAACCTTGGCACCTCAAAACAGGTCAAAAAAGAACCTTGGGAGGCGTTGCCCCCAAATCTACCAGGTCCGTTTGAAACCCTGAGTCGCAATAGCGCCCGAAACAGTTCAAAAAAAGACCATGCGCCCCAAACCATGTCAATACAGAACCTTGGGAGGTACGGCCCCAAATGACCGGGTCCGTTTGAAACCTTGGCACCTCAAAACAGGTCAAAAAGGAACTTTGGGAGGCACTGCTCCCAAATCTACCAGGTTCGTTTGAAACCTTGAGGCAAACGTGTCGAAGCAGCACCCAAAACAGGGCAAAAAAAAACACTCGTTCAACTGAGATTATCACTGTAGTGCACTTCGATAAGTTTATA